TTTTTATTAAATAAAAATATTTAACAAAAATTATGTATAAGAATAAAAAATTTTAATTGTTATTTATATAAATAGTTAAATTTACATATAAAATTAATATTTCAAAAATTAAAAAAATAAATTAACAAAAAATATATATTTATATGTTTAATATTATAATATATTTACTTAAGAAGACGTTATAATGATAAATGTGATATTATAAATATAGTATTATTATTTTAATAATAACTCACCAATTAATTTTATCAAAATTAATTATTAAATTAAGAGCTAACTTTGATATTAAGGGATAACTCTTTAGTGTTTTTTTAATAATGAGTGTTTCTATTTTATAAATTATTTCATTTGTTTATATTTATTGATATTAAAAAATAAAAATTAATTTTTATTTAATTGAATGTTTAATAAAAATGATTCAACTGGCATTAATAATAAAATCAATGTTAATTTTTATATTTTTTAGTACTAATTAATATAAAAAAAATATAAGCCCAACTGGAAACAATTATTTAATAACCTACGATGGTAGCCAAACTCTCTTGCCGACTCGATAGGTTAGAGCACAACAAGCGATACCCTCCATCAAAATAAAAGTTAAAAAATAATGGTAGAGATAAAATTAACATATCCAAGAGCTACTTTCTGTTTACAAAATATATTTATTTTCTTAAGATTTATTTTTATTGTACAGAGGAGTTTCTTATAGGTGTTTTTTTAATCAGTTAGTAGTTTAGATTCTAATTGTTATTTGTTAATATCAAATCGTTAAATAAAAAATTTTATCAAACACTTAATTTATAGTGATTTCAATATAAATAAATTTTCCAAACAATTATCCTTAACAATTTAGGTAAAATCTCTAACCATTACCTTTAAACCACTATACTAAATAAGTACTTAAGGTTTGTTTGGTATAGGCGTTAGAATTTAACAGATAACAGATAACGGATAGTGGGTGATGGTTAGCAGATGGCGGAGAGTGGAAAGCGGATAGCAGATAATAAACGAGGGATTTGATTAATATAATTATTCACTTATATGATGGTTAATTGTTGTTATTTTAAATTAAATGACTAAAAAGAATATGTTTAGAAACAATTATATGTATTTTTTTTATATTTTTATATTTTTATTATTAAAATTATTAATTT